ATGAATATAGTTTCGGAAACTCTGAGGCGTCGACACCTCTCAGACATTTGAGCCAATCTTCCCGTTCCGTACAATTCAGTTGTTTTGCTAATCTTTTTGTCTGTAATAATGCTTCAGTCCTATTGACGGGATCCCTGTCCTTATTACCCAAAATGGATCCGCTTTGCATTATAGCCCGTCTAAACAGTCCACGTGTTAACGGCGATACTATATGTGCCGATACGGACCAACTGCCGGCGCTTGCACCAAATATTGTGATCCGATCTCTATCCCCACCAAAAGAATGACTATTTTCTCTGATCTAAACGTTAATAAATAAATAACAGTATTATATGTTAGTTTAATTTTTTATTTTAAAAATCGTGTATTTTATACCCATTTGAGAGCCAATAATTGGTCATAAAAGCCCACATTTCCGGGTACGTCCTCCCGATCCCCGTATATAAAACCAAACCATCCGAGTCTGTAGTTCACGGCCACAACCACCACATCATTTGTGGCCAAAACACTCCCGTTATGTAACTCTATTGATCCCATTGCTAGAGCCCCTCCATGTATCCAAAACATGATTGGTTTTAGTGTTTTCGATGAGTTATTGTTTCCCACATTAGGTGTCCATATGTTTAGTACCAAACAGTCTTCACTTAAGTTTGATTTCCCAAAGAATTCCATACTTTTTGAAACCGTTTGCCAACAAATATTTCCTTGTTTTGTAGCATCAATAATATCCTACAACAGTATGAATAGTATTTTATTGCTTATAAAAAATCAACAAATCTTACATTTTTGGCATTTCTTATTGGCTCTGGTTTAGCAAACCTAAGCGCACCGACCGGTGGTACGGCATAAGGTATACCCAAAAACTGGTCAACACTTGTGTTCAACACATCTATAGTGAGACCTCTCACTACACCTGATGTCGTGTTCACATCAATACAATCAATTACATTAAGATTTAATATTAAAACTTTTAAAAATAAAATAAAATAAAATATTTTATACATTTTACTATAATAACAATTTTTAATTTAATATAGTAAATTAAATTTTATATAATTATATAGATGATATTAAAGGACTAATTATTTACTCACATTGTTTTCGATTTTATTTATGTTAATGAAATATCTCAATTAAATATTACAAAATAGTGGAATACTGTATAATAAAGATCATTATCAAAAATAATTATATTAGTCACACACCTGTCCAATAATTAACCTGCACATCATTTACAACACATTATGACATATTTATTTAAAATTTATTTTGTGATAATGGGGTAGCCAAACTATTAAACTAGTGCGGAACCTACCCCTTAATGAAAGTTTTGTTTTAAATTGAGTAATAGGTTGACAAACATTATATGAATTATATAAGGAATCTATTTATTTGTTAATACTTTCACAGATTAATTCAACTGACAATCAATACAATTTACATATAGGCATACGTCCAAGGATAAATTTATTTAATAGAAATAACTAGTTATCCTAGTATTCTACTTTATGTTTACCTGTTTATTGTTTAAACTACATAATAGTATTGCATTATATTGAATTATTTTAATTAGTATTGGTTACAGTTCAGGTACATTTGGTTTAAAACTATGAAATTATATTTATTATTTTCATAATGATTGTGATTTATGTCCAATTTTCTTTTATTGCAATATAATATTGTACTTTATTATCAGTTGGTTACGCCAATGCTTATAAATTACAAATAATAGTCTTTCCAAAAGCCATCACAAGTGGTGTGAAAGGGATTATCCAATACTCGACTCATATTCCGTGGATTCAAATCACGGACTGAAATCTTATTTCTGACCAATAGTTGCGGCCAAATGTCATCCGGTTTACTAAAAGCAATTAAATAATTTGTTAAATAATAGACCTGGTTTAACAATATTTTTAAATATCAATTTATACCCAGTTTTAGCAAAATTGGTCCACATTTTCATGATATCTCTACTGAAAACAGTCTCTTCATGACTGAA